ACTGACTTCAGCAACACTAGAATTCTAAATAAAGTGCAGCCATTTTATTGACAAAGTTTACACACACCAAGATGTTCTTCTGCTATGGCTGTTCTAATAGAGATGATGACCCAGAAATAATGATGGAAGATGACAAAATGATATATTGATACAAATATCCAGAAGTTTACTTTTGTTTTTTTTCCTTTGTGTTTATAAGTTGCATTGGTTCAATTTGGAAGCTCATTATCAACAAAGATTAATATGATCTGGGAGTTCAATGCATTCTCATTTTTCCCTCACACTAAGAAATTATGTCCTCTTGTTTCTCATTATAAATCACACTTTTAATAAATTTCTAGCCATAAATAATGATGTGATTTTGAGTTATAAGCAAAATAAACTTATTTAGGAAGTTGTTGTTGTTCTTTTTTTGTGTGCATTTCTTTTAAGACCTATAATCTTAAACAAAAACATGGCATAAGCAATATTATTACATCCTTTCTAATCATGAATAACATTTACTGGCAAATTTGTCTGTAAAAAAATAATTATAAATAAAAGAAGCTCACTTTAGACTCATTTTATCCCAAAATACACAGGACAGGAAACTAAAAATTGGAATACATTTTTTCTAATCCTTAGGCACTAGACTTTAATAAAAACAAAAGTTTGATTGTAATAAGATTTCCAATATTCTTAGAATATTGCCATAACTATTTGCATTTCTGGATATTTAATAAATTTTTATATTTTATTTTTATCATTTTAATTGTTCAACATTTAAATAACATAAATGATCTTTCTCTTGATTTATATATCTTTATAGACTCTTAAGTTCAAGATTGTACATTTTTTTGTTTTAATCGTCTAAGAGAACCCTCTTTATCTTCCATCAGCATTGCTGATGCTGACTTTCAGGATAGTGACTTCTTGGGCTAACATTCTTCACTGCCATGAAGTGGAAAGACTATATTGAATCCATTGCTAGGTCAGCAGCTAAGAAAGTTGGTTCACTGTGTTGTGTTAGATTCTGGAGAGAAAAATTGTCTATCTTACATATAAGTCTACCATTCGTCCATGCTTAGCATATTACTGTCATGTATGCTCTAGTGTCCCTGCTATTTATTTAGAACTCTTTGATAAAATCCAAAGAAGAATTGGCAATATTATTGTCTTGACTTCAGTCACTTTCCCATAGCCATAAATTTACCTCCCTTTGTCCTTTCTATAAATACTTTCATGTTGATTGTTCAGATGAGCTCTTTGCTATGGTGCCTAACCTCTTTGAATTTAAGTGCAGTACTAGACTGATGACATGGTCTCACCAATTTACAGTTGAGTTGGCTAGATGTAACCATAAATTCTATTCTAACAGTTTCTTTTCTCACACTTCTTGCTTGTGCAACTCCTTTCCAGCTCCATGCTTTCCAGCCAATTTTAATCTTGAAAAATTTAAATGCAATGTTAATCACTATCTGCTGTCTTCTTGATTAATCTTCTTTTGTTTTTGCTCCTTAGCAATGTTTCTGGTCCTAACTCTTCCACCCCTAGTAACCCCTTGTCTCAATGGCTTTACTGCCTTGCATAGGGTAAAGTCTATTTAAAAAAAAAAAATCCTTTTTGTTTATTTCAAAAACAAATCTATTACTCTATGATGCTCATTAGTGTATATACCTGATGTATCTCAGTTGATTATAATTTTTTTCTGTTTATTTTCTAAATGCTTTGTGCTACCCATTTCCACAATGAAGTGATTCTCCCTAGATTTAGACATTTTTATTCCATCTTCTCTATGTTCTACCCCACTTTATTTCTATTATCCTTAGGCAATGCTAAGTACTGAGCTGTTACCAAAGCTTTATAAAGGTGCTTGCATTCCCACATAATACAAAGACATTCCAAAGTGAAAAAAGTAGTTTTCTCTTTTAATTGGATTTCTTTGTTAGTTCAAGACATTGTTAAATGAACATTATTTTTATATAAACCTAATAATTTTGGATGAGAACCTTGAGTTTGATATTGTTATTGACCTAGGAAAATATTTTTTGACATGAATTTTTGTATTCATATTTTTTTATATATATATTTGGAAAAAAAAGAATAGTTTTTCTCTTTACAAAAAAAAAAAAAGGTATGTACACACACACACACACACACACACACACACACACGTGGTGCTGAAAAGTTATTTGCCTTATTCACTTAACAAAATCAGATTAAATTTTTTATTTTTTTTTTTAATCATTTGGTCAGGCTGAGATTTTTTTCTCTCTCAGTGTCTTGTTCATTTAAATATAGTGTGGAAAATATGAATTATTTGATGTCTGAGTACTTTTGGCTTTTTATAAACCATTAATGTTTTTGTTTATAATGTGACTAAATGTACTGATTGTGTGTTTTTCTTTTTATGTCTGCTTTATCTGTTTTCAAATATTGTATCTTCATGCACCATTTTGTTTATTCAAGTATCATATCTTCATATATCATTTTATGTGAATTGTTTTTTATAATTGAAAGCTGAAAGTACTCTGACATTGGACAGTTCATATTTAAAGTTTTACCAGAAACCATATAAACTGTCGGAAATATAATCAAAATCTTTAATAAGGAACTTTGGTTGGTCTTCAGACAAACATATATCAGTTGTTTTTAAGGTAAAAATACCTTTTTTATTTTAGCATATTCTTATGCATTTTCTCTTGCTATATCAATGATGAGAACCTCCTCCCTAAAAAAAATGGGCTATTTTTTTTCTTTCTTTGTTAAACCAATTACCTTTGAATTAAATTTTAGGCTGTCATTATTTTTGAGAAATATGCATTGCAATAAACTGGATATATTTCTGTTTTAAGTATACTTTTTTTTTTTTTTTTCATTGCTAACCTTTTTGTTTTGAAAGTAGTTATCAATTTTTTAAGTAAAAACATATTTGATACTTGTTTTGGTCTATTTTGTGGCATTATCTTAAAGATGTAACTTATGACAATCACTAATAAATTGATTTGTTGCTTCAAATTAATAAGGAAGACTACTAATATATAATTTTCAAATCATTTATTTTTGCCTAAAATTTTTCATAATTTTGTAATTATTAGATATTTTATAATTGTTTTGACACAAATATTGTCTTAATTACAAATTCTTATGACCTTTGGCATTCTAAACACTTTCAGTCCAGTTGTATGTAAATGTATGCAAAGTTTATATAGATTGATTATTGACTTAATCCTGAATTAGTTTCATTCTTGTTTGCAATAGACTTACAGTATTGACTTTCTGACTGAATTTCTGGAATTATAAAATGTTTTGGTGATTGAAAAAGATGCAAAATACAGAGGCAAATTTTGTATTGTGAACATTCACTCTTTGTTAATACAGGGGAATAAGTAGTACAGCTGTAGATAATTTGCATTCTCTCACATTATGATATAGCTACTCACTTATATATCAGCTGATGTAGAGGATACTTGAGTTAAATGGATCCTAGGTGGGTGGAGATGTAGGCAGATTATGTGACTAAATGGAAAATTAGAATGCCATTAAGGATAGTATACAAGATGGACAAAGAACAATGAAAATTTGGTTGTTGATGTTACTTTTATTTAGAGTTGAAATATGAAATAGTTATTTACAGAAATGTTTTAAATGATTTAATATTTTTGAATGGCTATTGAATGAAAGTCTGTTTTGATAGTTGTTTTAATACTTAGACTAGCCATGTGTAAATAAAGTCCCCTTTCTCTGGAAATCAAAACTTGTAATTATGCTGAAATCTAAACATGAAATTATGCTGAAATCTAAACATGAAATAGAATGTAAATGTTCACTGAGGTAATTTTGCAACTTTTGTAAATTGCAATAACATTGCTAAAGACAGTGGGATTTTATTTTCTAGGGTTTAAAAAGAATTTAACTTTTGCATTTAAAAATTAAGCTAGACATTGCTGTCATCAATAATCCAAAACTTTATTCCTTTCAAACATAATGGTCACATATAATTTGTATTTTAAAGCAATTTTATTTTTCACTTTTAGCTGAAAATTAAATTGTTACTGTCTAATAAAAATATCTAAAATGTCATGTTAAATATCATCCTTGGACATTGGAAACTATATGTCATTGTTACTATGTGGATAAACTATTGCTTTATGACTGGTAGATTAATATAGATTCTGTTTTTTTTTTCCCTTTAAGTACCAGGTAAAATAACATTTACAAAGATAAGTAAAAAAAAAAAAAAAAATATATATATATATTTGCCATAATATATCTTTAGGTCTGTCACATTGCCTTCTGTTCATGCATGCTTATAGTCGGTAATATTGTGGTCATGTAATCAAAGTTTGAGCTCTTTGTTCCTCCATGCTGCACACTGCTTGCAGAGTGTCCATGTTTTCACTGTAACAGGCAGCAAGAAAAATGGCACAATCAAGCTCAAACTTTGATCATGTGACCACAATACCAACTATAAGCATGCATGAGTAGAAGGCAGCATGACAAACTTAAAGATACATTATAGCAAAAGTGAAGATAATTTTTTACTTACTCTCGTATTTTGAAAAGTTTTCTAGTAATGATCAGTGATGAAAATGTTTAAATTTTGAAAAGATTTGGTTTTAATATCTTTTGTGATAAACTTTTTAACTGAGAACATTTTTGCTAAACAATTTTGTAACATTTTAAAAGAACTCACTAAAAGTTGACTCAAATGATATTCAATCCTATGAATGCTTTAAAGTTTTATCTTTTACAAAATGTTCTATGACTTAGTAATGTTAAATCAAATAACCTTGTAAATTTCTATTACCTTTCACTCTTTTTTTTGTTTGTTTTAATGTCCATGAATTGTAATTTGAAGCTACTATTGTAAAGAATGTTTTTCATAATTCCGACATTTGGAATAAAGCTTTACTGTATTTATGATTTATTTAATATTCAAATCAGATTTTCTTTTTTTAAATTTCTAAATTCTTTAAAAGTGGATTCATAGTCAAAGAAAGTTTTTTCATATTTTGTAGGAAACTTATCCACAATCTGCTCCAATATGGTTTAGTGACATTGAAGATCCTATGATAACCAGTGCGATTGAACACTTGTGCAATGCCACTGCTGATAAATACACAGTAAGTAAAAGTTTTGTTTTTTTTGTTTTTTTTTGTTTGTTTTTTTTTTTTTTTTTTTGTTTGTTTGTTCTTTTTTTCTTTAGCATAACATGAAAAATTACTGGTTAATAATTGCAACAGTTACTGAGTTGCAATTTTTTTTTTTTTTTTACCTATCAACATTTCTTTATTTTAAATTTTAATTTTTTTGTAGTTTTACTGATGATATTCAATTATAAGAAATAGATTTTAATGGACTTTAATAAAATATTGGAGTGAAAAGTTTGGTTTTGTTTAAGCCCAATAATTGTATAATCTAATTTTGTTTTAACTTTGCTTTTCCTTTATTGGATTACATTATTCTTTGAAAAATTGTAAAAGACTTTGAAACTGACAAAACATTTCAGTGAATCCTTTTTGGAAGAAAAATTGAAACAATCTCTCGAAAGCATTGTTCTTGATAGTAACCTGAAATGCAAATTTGATAATAATACTGTTATCTTTTGCACATATCCTTTCTTGTAAATAATAATAGCTTAATGTGATGTTGAGTTAGTTGCCCATATCTATGATGAAAGTGATGTGCTTAATTTCCTGAATGCCCTGGTGATAGAGGATATCAACACACTGGACTGTATTTGAATTTTGAGTCAACTCTGTATTTTGACATAATGAAATACCATATTTGATGGCATATAAGATATTCCCTATTTACATTTAATATTCGAGTATTATAGAATTAGACTTGATACAAGCAAACTACTGTATTGTTAAATACAAGACACAGCTGCAAAGTTGTCAGCTTGACTTGCTTCCCAAAATCAGTATTCCAGTGGCTAAACATGAAAACACTGATTTTTTTTTTTTTGGAAAATGGAATGGGATGAGAACTTTTAAGTACCCACTTTATATAAAAATTGGGATTCTTTTGTGGGTCTTATATGCTATCAAATAGGGTGATTCATTGCCTTCCGAAGTAGTGGACCTGACACCAAATAGCATGAATTAACCCATCTATATAACTTTCTTCCATGAAACAATTTACCATTTAACACATAACATGTGAAATCAGCTAAGGAGCAAACAAATTAAAAAGATACCAGCTACAAGATGGCAGTGATTCTACATATGAAGAGTATTAGGGTAGATTCAATGAATCTGTTATCAATATGAAAGCTATCAATCATAAAACTGTATTACACAATCTCCTCACAAAGTCAATTTTCTATGAGAAGAGAATATGTCCCCCAAATCATGTATAATATTTCATGCAGTTGTAATAACAGAAATTGGTAATCTTAAAAATTCAATTTTAACATAAAAGCAATAATCCAAGAAGAAAATATAAAGTTTTTCAGACCAAATATTGGAAAAGCAAAAGAAGCACATCACTGTCTTTAGAATGACAAAATTATGAATGAACTTCATACACAGGGTTGTGACAGATAATTGAGAACAACTTATTAAAAAATTACACAATAGAAAAAGTGAATATATTTATAAAAAAAAAAAAAATTGTACATGTTCAACTTTGGAAAACAGAAAAAGTTATTCACTAAAACAGCCTTTCTTTTTTTTTTTTTTTTTTTTTTTTGTTAATGTTTACCATCACGTTTACAATAGTGGGCTTGTCTGGGTGCTTGTTCAATTCAACAAGCATTTCAGTTTGATCCCACAATTCTCCTTGGTCTTGTTAGACATGAACTCTTTATAATGTAGGATTTGTAGCTGATGTCCTTGTGCACCAATCATCTGGAGTTCACCACTTTGGGCTGCTTGGATGAATTTGAAAAATGTTTTCTATTTATTTATTTTATTTTATTTTATTTTTTTTTTTTTTTATCAAAATAGATTTTTCATATTCATACACAATTTTTAAGTAGTGTTTGACCTGAGAAGATAAGAAAATAATTTTCTTTTGTCTCTACAGTACTTTGAGAATAAATTAGCAAATGAATAGTAGTGGTTCACCACTGCTAACCATAAGTTAGAAAATTTTCAAAAGAAATAAATACAATCATTAAATGATTATTGCATGCATATCATGGTGTAAAGCTACATAGAAATTTGCATAAGTATTTAATAGATTTGAACTTACATGTAATGTCAATTATTGTTAACAAGATTCACCATTACACATTATTTTGGTAAAATTACATTTTTATTTATTGTATCATACGATAAATATATTTTTAGAACATTCCTACTGTTTTATAGATTATTGTTAAATAATATTTACAAAGATAGCATTAAAATATTGTGGGGTTAATGTATATGTTTACAATTGTTTTCTGAAGTTTTAAGACAAAGTAATTTCATTATTCTTTTTTCCCCATTGTATTCATTGTTTTAGCACATTTAGGTTGATATCGTTTTTGTTCTTAGGTGTATGTACATCTAGTGGACTTCAGAAGTGACTTAATACTTGTTTTTCATGAAAACTAGAATTGGCAGTTCAACAGTAACATGATTATGTATTAAGATCTTATGTTAGTTTGTGTTAATGAGAAGAGATGAAATTGGGAAAGTTTCTTTTATTCTTATCAAGAAATCTGCCTTTTACTAACTCTTGTTGCAGAGAACATTAACTAGTTTATGGTACCATTGTTGAAATTTTTCAAATAACCTTGACTTAGCTTCTTACATGAAAGGTACCAATTGCTAAAATGAGTTTTCTTAAGCACTGGTTTCCATATGGAGTTAAAATCTACATTCAGCTTATGCATTTATTATTTTTTTTTTCATTTACAAATTCCTGTTTAGTTTTTTCATCTGGATTTCTATTGTAGTTCCATGTCTATGATAATGGCCTTAATATTCCCATCTCAGGTTATATTGGAATATTGTGCTCAAGTTAAAAAGAAAAGAGAAAATTAGTGATATTTAAAGATCAGATGCATCAGACTGAAAAATGTTTACCAAAAATATTAAAAAGCAACAATAATGAGAAAAATATAAAGATTCTAAACAATCATAAGACCATAACAATATTTATTATTATTATTAAAAAAAAATTAATTTGCATTTTATGTTTATAAATGTACAGAAACATTACTTGTATATTTTAATTACTGAAATTTATAATTTTTGAAATTGTATATGTACTCACAATGACCAACATTTTTTTTATAAAGAATATTTTGTTTAATGGATATTTTTGATTTATTTTCTAATTCTTATAAGGTTACAGATCATTTAATTATCATTTACTGGTGAATTGTTTTGTTACTGAACATGACTGGGTCTTGTATTCTAATAGAAAATATATAAATATTTATTAAAAAATCAGAATTATTCATACTGGTAATTAGAAAAAATTTTGTATGTGCAAGCAGTATGTTTTTTTTTTTTTATAGAAATTGATCATTTGGAAACTTTGAAAAAAGATCTTTGTAGAAGTTAGTACAAGATCTTATTCCAAATTTTTACTTTAAAATTGAAATAAATAATTATTAAAAACTTATGGCAGTCTATTGTTGACAACAATCATAAGGAGTTCAGCATAATTTTTTGAATGCAATCTGGTTGTAATTTTTAAAGTTATTTAGTGTATAGTTACGGCTCTTGTGAGGTGTCTATGCTAAAATGTATTTCACTACATTTTTGTATAAGCAACTATGTGAAAATTTGAATAAATCTTAAGCAACTCAACTTCTGATTTTCTATCATAGTTAATAATTCTACCAATTATACTAGTTTAGTTACATTGAAACATATTTTTCTATTTATTAGACCTAAGCATAATATTTAAACAACTTGAATACTCACTCTTGCACAAAAATGAAGCAACTTAAGTACTAGTCAAAATTCTATGTTGCCAATAAAAAAATAAAAATTGTGTATTACATTTTTTAAAACAATAACATTTTTTAGCTTTTTAATGTTTGCACATATACTAGTGTAAGTTCAAAACTTTTTCCTAATTTCATTGAATTGACATGAAAATTTTTTATCTTTTTTTGACTGTAGCTAAAAGACATTTTTCCATTAAGACAAATCCTGCAGTGCACCTTTTACATTTTAAACAGCTATAAGTTATTTTCTATTCACATAAGATAACATTCAATTTTTTTGTATTAATTTTATGATAATAGTATTTATTATTGATTTATTAAGCATTATCAGTAATTTCAACTGATAGAGATAATGCATTTTATTTATGTATTTTGAATATAGACAAATCAACATTTTACAGTCACAACATGCATTAAGGGTTAACACATGCTTAAGGAATAAGCATGGATGATATATTTAGTTCTGTGATAGCAAATTTTTGTTTTAATTTCATCTCCTTTTTATAAGAATGGTTATTGACTTGATTATTTTCAGATATTAGATCAAGTGAAGATATTGTTAACGCAGCTTTGCTCACTTCATAATGTACCAGTTCCTTTTGAGGTGACAAATATTGATAGAGACTTGGCAGCAAAAGTAAGTCTTCTCTTTTTCAAAATTGACATAAATGCAAAAACTTACTGCTTCTTTTATTTAAAGATGCATAGAAAAATTACAAATTGATTTACATTTTTTTTTTCTTTTAGAACTGTATTTTGTAACATTTTTCTTATGTGCACTGTTTGTTTCTATGACGGTACATCTTCTTAAAAAGGATGTCACTGAATGACAGTTTCAAATTCATCACATTTAAAAAAATTTTATTGTTGTAAAGAAAATAGTTTGTAATTTATTTTACAAGAATCATTATTTGATTCAATAATTTCAAAGTACAGGGTCTGGCAGATATAATGGTATGACATTAATGGCAATGATGTTTTCATCTAGCTAATGTCTTACCATTATGTGTGATCTATTTCTGCCTTACTCTGTAGAATTAAGGTGCGTGTGGGTTTTTTATTTTTATATATATATATATATATATATATATATATATAATAGTAACTATATCAGCTATACCATATTTAATACCACACAATTAAAATTTTTTCAAAAATATCTACTGGAAAACATTTTTATTTTATGCATAGAAGAAAACTTTAAGCTGTCAATACTATTAAAAATCATAGAAGGTAGGTTACCTTTTATCTTTAAACTAGTTCTTGACAGACATGATAGTATGTACTAGTTGTTGACAATTGAGAAATGTCTCTCTACTGCATCAACTCCAATGTAAACAACTAAAATTGCTTGTTTTGCTATCAATATGATAGCAAAGCAAGCAATTTTAGTTTGTGCTTAACAGCTGCATCAAAATTTTAACAAAAACAAGTTGATATTTGACAATACTTTTTACTCATTAAAAAAATAATACTTGTTTTTATGATATAATGCTAGGTGCCACCACAGAAAATGCGATACCTAAGGCTTAAAATGAAAAAACGTTATTGAAGCTTTTTACTTCTAATTTCAAGCTATTCGATTAAGTTTAATATTACTTTGCTCTATTTCAAAATGAATTTAAATTGTCTGGAAGGAGTGTTTTTGTTAAGATAACTGATTACTGCTCTATTTTTAGTCATCTTTCATTGCGATGTAATTCTCTTTCTTAAAAAAATTTTCTAAAAATAATATATGCTTTTCTGAAAATTGTGGAATGTTAGATGATTTAAAATATAATTAATCTGATTCAAAACAAATATTATTTACTTTGTTTAAAATATTGCAGAAATGCATTTTTTAACACAGCAATAGCTGTTTTTTAGGCTGTTGACATGTTTGGCAGCTTGATATTTATGTTGTTCCATGGAGACTTTAGCAGTAAAAAAATAATTAAATGTGAGTAATCAATTTTTAACTCGTCAGTAATCTTAAAAATTTAAGAAAATATTCTCAGTAATCTAATGTTTTATTGAATTTTAGATACTTCTTGGCTTTAAATTTACTACAGTTATTGCTGTCATTTTTTGATAATGCTGTGTATGGTCATTTATATTTACAAAATCAGCACGTTTATACATGTACAAAAAATTTCAGTTCTTTAAAAAATATTGGTATTTGATGGTTTGTACTAAGCTTTTTCATTTATGATTAGTAAATATTGTTTTTACTTACTAATAATATCATCTAAAAGGGTCAAATTAATACAGAATTTTAAGATTTAAAACTTAAATTATTCTAATTAAAATTTTAATATAATGAAATTTCTTGTAAAAATTCATTATTCCTTGAAAAAAAAACTTTTCTTAAGACATTAGTGTCCATAATATACCTTATTTTTGAAACTAATTAAAAGCTTATTTAATTAAATAATGTCATAGTTTTAATGAATTTTTTATTTTACGATTCAGAGCAGATTTTCAGTATATGGTGTTTCTGTTTTTAAAAAAAAAAAATTGAAATTCTCCAAGTAGTTCTGCTTTTAACTAATATAAATATGAAGGGGTGGAATTTTAATCTCTCATAATTTCATAAAATTAAGTAAGTTTGGGTGTACCACAAGAAAAAACACTAAATTTCCCATACTAATCTTTGGTGCACCTGCTGATACATGAAAAACAATTTTTTACCAGAATTTTTTTCAAACGTGCTAGAAAGAATTCAAATTTTTTATAAAAAAAAATAAAAAAATTTTATCAAATTTTTAGAGGTACAATATTGTACAAATTTTTTGAGGTATAATATTGTTCAAAAACTTTATTTATTATATTTACTCAGCATTATAATTTAAGCTGATTTACCAAATAATAATAGAGCATTAACTTATAACCTTATGGGTTTCCATCCATGCCAAGTTAATAATTACTAAATTAATATCCTCTAATTTAATTAACTAAACAAATTATGAAAGTATAGTAGTAAATATTAATGATTCATTGTTGTTTAATAACATTTTATTTTGGCCAGAAACGAAAAATGAAAAATTAAACAATTAAATATTAAAGTGTGAATAAATTGAATGTTGTTTGAAAATTTCTTAAATGTTTTAGTGTGAGTAATGACCTCAAAATTGCACATAATTTTGTCTTATTGTAAGAATAAAGTAATTTATTTTTGCAGTTTTTAATTTTTCAATGTACGATATCTGTTTGACTTGATGGCTGCTCTTATTTAATCTTTCAATAAAATTGAACATGTTCTCTTTAAAATGTAGTGCTAATCAACAATTTAATAACATTTAGATGGTATTTATTTTAAAATATTTTGACTAAATTTTCTTACAAAGTAATTTTGAATATATTTCATCTATGATAAAATATTCAGAATATTTGAAATTCAAGGATGAGTTCAATTTCCATTGTCTTTTTTTTAATATGTAGACTATTTGAAGCATTAAAGTTTTCATTGTCATTTTAACAGCTGTAAACACTTTCAAACAATTCTTTATATTGGAATTTTTTCCAGTTTTTTAATGTTTATGAAAATTGAATTGTCTGTGAGTAGATTTACAATTTTCTTAGAGTTCTAAAACTGACATTTTAAAAGTATAAATATATACAAACCTCTCATCAATGGACTAATAGGGGGGATGGGGTTGTCCATTAAAGCTGATTGTCCATAGATGGGAAGGGATTATTTTATATTAACTACCACTAGTTATGATCATAATGTAAATACTATAAACATGTATATATGGCATAAATAAATATATACTTAATATAGATATATTAATCAAAATAACAAAAATAATAGATTTCTCATAGATACTTTCTCACATACTTGCTAATGTATTGTACTTTCCATCTTTGTTTACAATTGAAAGGCCTACCACTGCTGCCAAACAGTTACTTTGAAAACTAATGACTCATTCCTCTAACCCCGCAAATTTTGAATTGCTGACAATTTGGAAGTTTTTTCCTGTAGATTTGTTTTTATTTTGCCTGCAGATTTAAAACCATGAGGAAGAGCAAGGCTAGAAAAAAAAAGTCTTATCCTTGCTCTTCCTCTCCTTTGTTTTATACTTTTGTATATATTCATATTTAATTTTAAAATGCCAGTTTTTTAAAACTTTAAAAAAATTGAATTGTATATACAATGCACTATTTTCTCTGAACATAACTTATAAATATTTGTAAGATCTAAATAATCTTGAATAAAGTTTTCAAGTTTGACAGTTTACTCAATTCACCTTATTGTGTAAATAAAACTTGTAATGCTGCATTTGATAACTATAGTATCGGTACCCCTCAAAAAAAAAAGTATAACTTAAGATTTTTCGTGAAGCTTTTTAGTTTTAATTCCAAGCTGATGGATTGAATTTAATATTACCAATAAGCAAAATACTTTGCTGTATTTCAAGCTGAATTTAATTTGATTTGAATTATTTTTTATTTTAGTTTTTTTGTCTTTTTTGTAATCACTAAAATATGACAACACAACATAATTCTCTTTATTGAAAAATCTTTCAAAAAGAAAATGTACTTTTCTAAAACTTTATTTGAGGAACATTAACTGATTTAAAGTTTAATTAATTGGAATTAAAACAAATATTACTTTTAGTTTAAAATATTGCAGAAAAGCATTTTTTTTATTTATTAATTAACACGTAGATGTTTTTATGAGGTGTTGGTAGACTGAGGATAGCTTAATGGTTGGAATTTATAAGGGGCACATAAATGCAAAAAATTACTCGTGTACATGAACAATTTTTTTATATAATTTTTTAATTATCCAGTAATCTTAAAAATTGAGGAAAACATACTAAATAATGAAATATTTTATTGAATTTTAGGTACTTTGGCTTTATAGTATTATTTACAAAGACACTTGTTGAGGAAATGTTAGAAAATTATCAATAAATTTTAAGTTTACACTAGTTATTACTCTTATTTTCTGACAATGTTGTGTATGGACGTCTGTATTTACAAAAATTGGCACATTTATACACACACAGAAAAAATATCAAAATTCTTTTTAAAATACTGGGGGTTGCTGAATTGTAATCTTTACCATTTGTAATTGGTAAATATAGTTTTTACTCAGTATCTGTCTATATTTCTGAGATGAGGTATTATGTACACTATTTACATTATTCGGACTATTGTCCTCATCTTTGTCGCCATATTTATTACAATGTTTCCGCCATTGTATGCTCCGGCCTTCTTCAGGTGGTTGGAATGTCGAACTGAACTCTTTATTTCGCTCACTGGGATAGACTGTTCTAGTTCCATGTGCCATGTCTAATGGATGTCAGTTATCGGTTATCTCCTGTTAATTCCCCTGTCTAACAGTCTACCCCAGTGAGCAAAATAAAGGGTTCAGTTTAACATTCCAACCACCTGAAGAAGGCTGGAGCGTACAACAGCCGAAACATTGTAATAAATATGGCGACAAAGAATAGGACAATAGTTTGAATAATGTAAATAGTATAGTTTTTACTTAATACCAATATCGCCTAACTGCTAATAATATAGAATGTTAAGATTTAAAACTTTATAAATTACTCTAATTTAAAAAACAAAATGAAAACCATTCTTGTAAAAATTAATTATTCATCGAAAAAAAAAAAAACAAATTTCTCATGACAATAGTGTCCA